AAACGCAGGAAGATAGGGATAGGCACCACACCCCTTGGGCTTGGATATGCTTTGAGCAACAGCTTTGGAGTGAGGGAGCTTCAGGGGCCAGGGCAGAGTGAGGTGCTGGTGTGATGTGCCGTAGGATACACAGGATATCAGGGTGTGGGGCGGTCGGACTCAGGTCTTCAGACTCCCGTTCCAGTGCTTGCTCCCTTGCATAACCGTCCCTTTACAGGTGCCCCAGCAAGAAACACTTCCACCCTCTACTGCGTCTGAACTACGTGCCAGACACAGGAGGAAAGAATTCTGGGGTTGGCGCATGGCTGCACATCTGTGATCCCAGCTACTCAGGAGGCTAAGGCACGAGAATCACTTGAACCTGGGAGGTGGAGGCTGCAGCAAGCTGAGATAATGCCACCGCACACCAGCCTCAGCGACAGAGTGAGACTCCATCTCAAAAAAAAAAAAAGAGAGAGAGAGAGAGAGAAATAATTCCTGAACTCAGGGCTGGGACTGGTAGTGCCAGGAGAAAGCAAAAAGCAATTTGCTCTGGTGCCTGGGCACAGAAGGAGAACAGAGAAAAGGGAGGCAGAGGGAGTGCAGAGGGGAGGAAGGGGTGAGCAGGTGCTCTACGTGGGCTCGTTTGAAAGGAAATACACAAGCACATCCAGGCCCTGGGATTGGCCATGTCTGGAAGGGCTGGACAGGCCGAAGACAAGAAGGCCTCAGTATGGGGAATTCTATGACAATGAGGCAGGAAGGAGGTAGTCCTTGGGTTTCTTTGTCACCCGTGGGTAGAAGGGAGGTGTAAGAGCTGTGGGGAAAGAAGCAGGCATCCTCCCTCTACACGGAGACCTTTGTCCATGCTGCTGCCGTGCGAGACGGCGGCTGCTGGAGAATGTGATGCCGGCTGGTCCAAGAGATGACCTTGAGAGAGAGCAGAGACAAAATTGAGCTGGTGTCTAGTGTGGGGGAGAGGGGAGGGGCAGGTGAAGTGGGAGGAGAAAGCCGGGAGGGAGCTAGACAAGGAGGGGGCGGGGTGGACCAGGGCCACCTCCCCGTCTGGTCTGCCTCCCTCCTGGCCAGAAGCAAGGAGGACACAGACACGGGTGTGTGGGGGTGCAGCAGAGATGGGGGGGCCGTGTGTCCTTGAGCCCCAAGGTTCTCCTGAGCTGAGATCTTCATGACCTCATGTGCGTCCTAAGGATACAGACCTTGATCCTGCTGGGGGCAGGCCCTGGACTCAAGCTCTGCAGGTGGTCCCCCTTTTTCTAGGCTGGGTGATGCCCTCCCAAGTCCTTGCTTTTCAAAGCATTTCAGGGGGACATGGTGGGGGTCACCCATCCTCTGCTGCAGGAGTTAGAGATGAGATTTGCCACTTCTCTCACAAGAATTCCCAAGAAGTGATGACTGTCACTGCAGCCACACCCCGTGCCCATCTTTTTTTTCTGTTATAGATTGTTTATGTCAAGTCATTTTCCTCTGGGACAAAGCACTTAGCCTCTCATTTTCTATCAGTAAAAGGCAGCATCATAATTCCTTCCTCACAGAGTTGTGGGGACTATCAGATCCCATAAGTAAAAGAGCTTGCTGTAGTGCAAACTCACAGCACAAATGTAAGAGATTACTATTCCCAGGGAAGAGGCAAAAGGGAAAAGGAAGCAGGAAGGGAGTCCAGGCAAGGTCAGGGTGGGGAAACGACCCTGGTTCCTAGAACAGCCTTAGCTCCAGCCCTTCCAGCAGCCCCTCCCACCCTCCTTCTCCACAAGCTTCCTCTGGCCCTGGGTCTTGCTGGGTAGCCTTCAGAAAAACAGGACCCTGGAGCCCAGAACAGGACAGGCAGGGGGGAGGCGGTTACAAACTCATCCTTTCTCTCACAGATAGGAGAGGCCCTGGCCTCTTTCCCTCGACCTCTTCCCGATGATACTCACAGGAAAGGTTAGGGCAGGACCCTCCTGAAGGCCACAGGGTGCCCCAGAGGAGGGAGGCAACCCCCTTCGCACAGGACTGGGGAATAGTCACCAGGGCGCCTTCCAGAGCAAGTGCCCTTGCCAAGGTCAAATATGGGTGCTGCTGGGCCACGAAGGACGTGGATGAGTGAGGTCAGGAAAGTCTGGTGTTGGAGGAGGTGGATTTGAAGCAAACCTAGCTGCCACGCCTGGCTGGACCCCACGGCCCCTCCTCGCCCTCCCTTCCTTTGTGTTCTCTCAGGGCTGGCTTGCGTCTGCCCTGTGTCATTCTCCCCATCTTTCCCATGCTGCAGGCTAGGAGGCTCTGGCTGAAAAGGTGCTCTCTGCCTTCCCTGCCAGTTGCCCAACCCTAACCCCTTTAGGTCCCTGAGAAGCAGGAGGCCTAGCGGTTCACATCAAGTTCGAGAAGCAACAGCTGTGGGATTTCTCTCTCTCTCTCCCCCCACCTCCTCCTTCCTCCCTCCCTGGGACTGAGGGACAGATGCTCTGTTTAGAATTTCTTCAGGGAGACAGCCAACAAGGGCATTCTTTCTATTCCTTGGGCTTCCCTAGCCAAAAATGGGGGATTAGTCAAGAGACAGCTGCAGAGGCAGCGGCCCTTGGGGAACTCCTACCCGGAGTAGCAGCCATGGCCTCGGGAAAGAAATTGTCTGGAGCCGGTCTCCTTTAATTGGAACTTGAAAGTGATGTCTGCATTGGAGGGTGGCAGAGAGCAGGGCTTGAGGCTCTGGCTAGATGGACCTGGGACTGAATCCTAGCTCTGCCACTCTCTCGATGTTTGGGTTGGGGCATTTCAGAAGCTTGTTTCTTCATCTGCAGTGTGGAGACGAGCATCCCTACTCTCTAGGGTCATTGCTGGAATTAAATGAGTTGATGCACAGAAAAGCTTCTGTGATAGGTCTGGCAAACTTCAGGAGTCCAGGGATTGTTAGATCCCCTGTCACACAATAGGGCAGGAGCCAGACTACTTCCTGTACTAAGCAAAGAGTAACCAAGAGGCATGTGGCAATGACGTGGCTTCCAGTTCCCAAAAGCCCCAGTTCTGGAAAAACTTATTTTGTTTTTTAATTGGATTTTTTTAAAAAATTGAGTTCCTCCATCCAGGGTCTCTTGCAGTTGGGGAACTTGAGGCTTTCAGCTGTTGCATGCCTAGGCCTTGTCATAATCCAATAACGCAGAATATGGACTGGGATACTGGTTACGGAAGGGGATAGGATTGGTGGATCAAACAGGGAAAGGGAGAGAGGGAGAATACACACACATACACACACACACACACACACACACATATACACACACACGCACACACACACACATACACTCACATACACACACATACACACACTCACACACACACATACACACACAAAGATTCTGCTGTAACAAACAGAGATGGAAAGGGGAGGCAAAGAAGAAGAAGGGCCAGTGACAGCCCTGCTGCTCTGAAAGGCAAGGAGCCATTGGCTCACTACCTTCCTGTCCTCCCCTGGGTCCAGGTGCACTGGGATCCTAGATTCCCTAGGAGTGAGGACGGGCACCACAAAGGCATGAAGGCACCTCCCACCACCTTCAAGACTTCCCACTGCCAGTCTGTAGCCTGTTGTCGAGTCCTGGTCCAACCCCGAGTCACCCGTGTGAGCTGGGGTCCATCATTGGTCTCTAGTTCTCCATCTCTTCATCTGAAGAATGTGAAGAGTAACTTCTGCTTTTGCTGCTTACAAGACTGTGGTGAGGATTCAAGGGCACAGTGAGGTGCCAGACAGAGGTGGGGGAGGCAGGCACATGGATTCCTTTCCATGCGGCTCTCAAGAAAAGCCTGTCCCTCCAGACTCGGGGACTGCCTGGGACCTTGAATAATTGCCTTGGCAACTCATCGCCTGGTTAACTCCCACTCCTTTGGGTTTCGGCTTAAACGTCCGTTCTGCAAGATCTTCTGCACCCCTAAGCTGGGTTCTCCTCTTATAAGCATTTGCAGCATTCTCTACCTTCCCATGACAGCACTTTTATAAGTTGAATAGCGTGGTTATTGGTGTGATTATTTAGCGCCTGCCTTTTGCACCAAACATTAAGCTCTGTGAGGAAAAGGACTGTGTTTCGTTGTGCAGCATCGTATCACCATGTGGCAGTGGGTGCGCCACAAGACCCTGCTGCGTGAGTAATTGAATCCCCTGCCTCTTACCTCTCTCATGCCTTAGCATGAGGCCTGAGGCCAAGCACCCATCCATCACATCCCCCTTGCCCAAAGCCTCCTGATAAGGGGCAGGGGAAGGGTGGCATCTCCTCTCCCTTCTAACTCAAGGAACAAATCATTGGCTACATGACAGTTGCCCTTCTTCCCATCCTCCCAGCATAGCAGCCCCTGCCCTGGCTCCAAAGGCGGAGAGGTGAGTAATTGCTATTTTTATTTATCTTTGCACAAGGCTGCTCTCTGGTGGTGGAACATGCAGGAGCGAATGGGAAGCATGGACGCTCCAGTGGCCAGGAACCAGCCGGCTGAGCCTTGCTCAGAGACTGCCAGTGAGCCAGGGAGTAGGTAAGCGGTACAAGAGGTGCTTCTTTCAGTTCTCCATCCTTATAATGGTTCTCTCCAAATCTAACAGGAGGCCCTGGCCTCAGACGAGCTGGAAGTGAAGGAATGCCCCTTAGAAATCCTACCCACCTCAGCCCCAGTAGGATGGCGTGTGGGTAGGGGGAGCTGGTTTAAGTGGCCATTCTTTCTCCTCAGTGGTAGGCAGGCAAATATTTTATAGTCAGCTCTCAAAAAAGGAAATTCCAACTGGTAGCACTAACCAATTTCTGTAGCATAAATACCCCTGCCATGGCCAATTGGAAACCACCAACGTGATGCCACTGAAGGAGCTGGAAGAGCTGCCCCGTAGCACACGTGGTCTAGCGTTTCCCCCATACAGACACCATGGACAGAAATAACTTCAAGGGCATGGTTAATAGTGGAATATAGTAAGCTAATTGAAAAGCGATGGTTTTTGAATAATTATTACATTTGTTTTCAATATAATGTATTTAATTGTGAGTTTCTATAATTTAATTTTTCATAGTGGCTATGTTTAACAGCTGACTTGCAAAATTCTGGAAAATTTAATAATCTGTTTCTGCAAGGAGTAAGAACAGGCTCCAGCACATCACGGCTTCTCCTCCTCTTCCCTTATTCTTCCTCCTCTTCCCCTCCTCCTCTTCCTCTCCCACGGCTTTCTTGGCATTCTGTGTGGGTACGAGAGATGGGGAACACGGAAAGGAGCGCCACTGCGGACATTACTGTTCTCTGAGCCGGGAGCCATAGGTGTCAAGGAAAGAAGACAGAGAAATGCAAATTTGGTTACTGAAAGACACTTCCATGTTCATTTCATTGAGTGTGTGTGTGCCCACACATGCACATACGTGGGAGTGATTTTTGCAAGGGATCAAGAGGCTGGCTGATGCCTGGGCTAAGATCAGTGTTTAAAGATAAGGAATTGGGCTTCACGGCTGGAGACCCATGCCTGCAGGGTCTTGGGGAGCTCTTACCTGGGATGAGTGGAAGGGGTCCGAGCTAGGTGTAGCAGCCGACGGGGAGCCGAGGCAGGCAGAAATAGGCACTGGGGAAGAGGCTAAGGTTGATGGGGTTGCCATCCAGGCGGACGTCTTCCAGCTGCCTGCGGGTGTATTTGTCTTCCTCAGGGTCACAGAAGACGTCTCTCTGCATGGTCTCTATCAGGTTATTCTGGGAAGAACACAAACCAGCCCACCAAGAGGGTCACCCCTTAAGCAGCACCAAAGGCTCACATCAGCTGTCCCCACCAGCTCTGCCTGTGCAGGTGCAACTGAAGGAACGGAAGCTCCTAGGGCCAAAGCCACACAACAGGGGTGAGAGGAGCCCCGGGAGATGGGTGGGGAGACAGATGAAGGGGGAGGAAGACAAAGGGAGGGAGGATGGAGGGAAGGACTGAAGGGAAGGAAAGAGACAGAGGGTAGGAAAAAGGGAGAAGGAAAAGCAGCTGGGTGAGATAAAATAAAGCGGTGGAGAGAGAGAAAATGCTTTAAAAAGCAAAAATGGAGAAAGTCAAACTGGGGCCATGAACGATTATATAGACAAGAGCTCAGATAAACCCTCAGATAAAGGAGACCCCACAGCTGCCCAAGCCTCATGCCTCTCACTGCCATGCCCTGCTCCCTGGTACCTAACTCCCATCCGCCACGCTTTGTGTGTCACCCTTGCTCTGGGTGAGGCTCCCCACCTGCAGGTGTAGAGAGCGCAGGCTCAGGGGAAAAGGCCCCGGGATGGAATCCAGCAGGTTGTCTGAGAGGTAGAGGAACCGCAGTTTCCCCAGCGCCTGTGGAGAAAGCAGAGTGTGGGAGGTTGATGGGTCCTGTTGGGTCCTGGCAGTGAGAGGGCGAAGAGCCCAGAGACAGGTGGCCCCATTTGTGCACTCGGGACTCAGCCTCAGCCATGAGCCAGGCTCTGTGCTGGGTGCTACAGAGTGTGCCCAGGTCTTTAAGGAGCTTACAGACACTAACTCCAGCTGGATGCAGGAGGGAAGCTGCTGCCATTGAGGTGCCGGCCACTGAGCAGGAAAGAGCTAGTCAGCTGGTAATGACACTGGGTGGGGCAGGGCAGGGGCAGAACCGAGTGGAGGGAGGACCAGGGGACATTTCAGCTTTGTCTCAACTCTTCTGCTCTCAGAAGGGACTTGCCCCAATGACAAGTCTCCAAATGCTAAACTGGAGCACGTACGGAGCAGAAGGAGAACCACAGGCAGAGAGGCACACGGTATGAGCATGGGACCGAGCTCTCAGAATCACAGTGTTCATCAGAGAAGGGTTTGGGAAGAGACAAGCCTTCAGCAGGGCTCAGGGAGCAAAGAAAAATGATAGCCACCATTTATGGAGTATCTACTCTGCATATCTAAGCCTCCTGTGCTCTTTGTAAATGCTGTCTTATTTAACCCGCCAGCAGCTATGTCAAGCAGGTATTATTACCCTCATTCTGCAGATGAGAAAACAAGATCAGAGAGGTTGAGTGACTCTCCCACAAACCCGGGTCTCTGTGGCTCCAAAGCCCAGGCCTTATCCTGGGCTGAGAAAACAGCTCTGAGTCAAGGCAAAGCAGCGCCTCCTAATATGGAGACAGCCGGGATGTTGCTGAGGCCGAGCAGCCGGGAACCTCGGCGATCATGTGATTCTGTTCTTTACTTAGAGACTGAAAAACTGAGGCCCAAGGTCATGTGGCTGGCTTCTGATTCCGGGGCTAGTGCTCTTCCACCTCAACAGTGGTAGTGATGCTGTGTTCTGGAAAACTCCCTCAAGGACCACGGCAGACAGAAGGCTGAGAGGGTGGAAGGCACTGGGGAGGCAGGGGAGAGAGCAAGCCGGCGTGCCTCTGTTACCTCGTCCTGTTTCAAAAAGGCAAGTCTAATTTGGTTTATTTGATGCTTCTAAATATGAATGAGATTGCAAAAAAGATTCTATATTTGAGAGAGAGAGAGCGGGAAAGAGAGAGAGCACGGGAGCGAGCACACCTGGGGCTCTTCCTGGCTCTATTGAATGGGCCGCCCCAGGGGGCATATTTGTGTCATATAACTTAGCCCTTTCCATCAAAACTGGCCAGCCAATGACCAAATAGTCTCTCTTGACGGGCACAGTGGCTCATGCCTGCAATCTCAGCACTTTGGGAGACTGAGGTGGCAGATCACCTGAGGTCGGGAGTTCAAGACCAGCCCGGCCAACATGGTGAAATCCTGCCTCTACTAAAAATACAAAACCTAGCTGGGCGTGGTGGCGGGTGCCTGTAATCCTAGCTACTTGAGAGGCTGAGGCAGGGGAATTGCTTGAACCTGGGAGGCAGGGGTTGCAGTGACCTGAGATTGTGCCACTGTGCTCCAGCCTGGGGGTCAGAGCAAGCTCTGTCTCAAAACAAAACAAAAAATGTCTCTTTTGAGCATTTGATCGTAGGAAGACAATGATTAATCTGTCACTTAGTGGCGGGTTTTGGAAATAAAATGATATGTACAGTTAGGGCCAGAATCAGCACTGTTCCAAGCCAAACTTATGAGTAAGTTTTCAGGGAGCGGAACCTGTGAGTGTGAGAAGACAGGTGAGTGGAGCAGAGGCACAGAAAGAAGTCAGGACAAGAGGCTGTGTGCCCCAAAGAGGGTGAGAGAGTTGTCCACCTTGACTTCTGAACCCCCATTCCTAGTACAGGTTGAACATCCCAAATTCAAATACCTGAAATACTATAAAATCCAGAACTTTTTGAATATCAACAAGGTGTTCCAATGAAATGCTTATTGGAGCATTTTAGATTCTGGATTTCAGGGTAGGGATGCTCAGCCAGTAACAGGCTTGAGAGTAGTGTTTCCACACATGGGGTTCTCGGGATGGCCTTTTGTTGGGTCAGAATCAGTTTCTTGTAACTGAAAGAATCAATAAACGGCAAATTTAAAAGGATGAAAACAGTGGCTGATGGTGGTGGTTGGTAGGTGGAGGTGGTGGTGGAGGTGGTGGAGGTGGAGGTGGTGGTGGTAGTGGTGG